CCGCCTTTGGACCGTCTCTTTGGCTTAACCCATTGAAACCACTCCCAAAACGGTTCATGAAAGTCAGCAAAACTAAAAGGAAGGTAAACAAACTTTTAAAATACAATTATAGATTAATGTTATATTATTAATTAATAATGAAACTTCTTCCAGTTAACTACATACCTTTCCGAATAATAGTACTTTCAACTCCTCTGGTTGATTTAATTTTATTTTCTTCCTTTACAAAATTCCAAAGGCTCTGTATTTCTAATATTATAAAATATATAATATATTAAAAAGAAAAAGTTGTATATAGTAACTTTAAAGGTAAGGTTATCATGGTTACTATAAGAAATACTATTGCAGTTATGTTGAATTGCCTTTCAATATTTAGTGGACGATTTTTGACAAGTGCTAATTAATGGGTTAACACCTTTTAGGCCAGTTGCAATCAATGCAAAGTGAGCGGCGGCCGTGCAACAATGTTGCCTGCTGCTGCCAACACAGCTGATGTCTGTTGCCCGATGGTCGATGCCGATCCCACTGGCTATATGATTTATGTCCCGGCACTCAGTTGGCGCCGCTTCTTTACCTTCATCCGCCTGGCCAAAAGCAAGGAAAATGTTTGTTTTCCCATCTCTAAGATAAATCATTTTCTTATGATTAAAGGGTTTTAACTTTCACATTGCTGATTAATTTGTTCAATGCGATTACAGATGGAGTAAACACGAGTAACAATTTAAATCAAAATCAAAAAGAAAACATTTGAGGTAAGTACGTTTTCCAACAACGAATAAAACAAATTCATAATGAAAATTCATGTTTTAATTCATTTATTTTTGGTAACAAAGTCTGCAATTTATTGTTTGCATACAAAACATTCCTCGTTCGCATTCCAAAGTCCTTAACATGGTATCAACTATCTTGATATTGAGTATTCAAATGAAAAAAAGTTTTAACAGGCTACTATATAAAGATGTAAAAAGAGAGAGACTGATACAGCCTCTTGGAACTGATCCGTTTCGTTTGTGAATAAAGTGATTGGTTAATTATAATGCCTGAGTTCCGACTAGTTTTGCTTCCATAGCAATTTAGTAGTAGTTTTGAAGGTAGTTGGCCACATGGGATGCAATGAATTGATACTGCATGTTAAAAGTCAGCTGCCACAGAGATTGGGCATTGTTGGTGGCATTCTGCACGGGAATGACGTTGGTCACAGTTACAGAATCATCATCGGAATCATCATCCGAATTATCTACCGAAGACTCAGCGGTGTTTCCCTCTCCCACAGATCCCTGAATGCTTGATCCAGCCAAGCTGATGTTGCTTAGAGCTTCCTCTTCTTCTGCGGATTCAACCTCTTCTTCGGTGGAATCATAGCTATCATCTTCCTCACTTCCAGAATCATCCTCTGTGAAAACGGAGGTCGAATCATTGTCCGATCTGCCAGTGGACTCAGTTTCGTAAACTGAGGTATCAATTCCGGAGGAAGCACTCTCGTTGCTCTCCACAAAACCACTCGATGAATTGTGTTCGTCGCTCAATGATTCCTCCTCGTCAATATAGACCTCTTCACCTTCGTCATATTCATCAGTGGACTCCGATTCTGGTTCGCTTTCAATGCGGACATCATTGGCGGCTTGTGGCACAGGTGGAATGTTCATCTGATGGGTCACATGAACACTCAGCTTGTTCTGCGGCTCTGGTTTCTCAAAGATCAAAGATACCTGGCTTGGAGTACGCCCAAGTGACACCAAGTCGTCTTTAAGGGACTCGGAAATTTGCTTGTTGCGCTCCTTAATATTGTCATTGTAAAGTTCGAGCATGGTTGCATAGAAATTATCCAGCAATTTTGCAACCTTTGCATTATTCATATTGTTTTTCTTGCTGTAGTCGTATAGCATTTGCAGGACTCTTTCACGATTTTTAACTTTCTTGAGCATATGACTTAGATTTGTACCAGGCAAAAGTGATAATTTGTTCTGCTCAACAATTTTCTGTAAAGGAAAATACACATTTTTAGTAACTCATTGCAGACTCTTTTATAAACTCACCTTTAGTTTAAATTTACGTTTGTCCTTGAGGTTTACATTTCTTTCAGGAAGTGATTTTTTATAGAGAAAAAGACGTCGATTTCCCTTGCTTTTCTTCAGCAAGCGCTTCTTTTTGGTCTCCAATCTTTCCCAGATCAACTCCTCATCACTGGTTGTATAGAAGGTGTCGTAGGACTTATCACTGTGATAGCCACATCCCATGCTGTCCGAACTAATGCTGCTGGCATCGTCCACCGTGTTTGAGATCACCATGTTCTGTATGGTCATCGAACTGGTCTGTGTGGGGGCAGCCAGACAGTAGGTCTTGTTGTTAATTGAGTTGACTGGTGGTGCCGGCGGTGTCACTGTGGTTGGAGACGGTTCCTGGGTCAGGGTTGGTGTCAATTCCGGCGAAATCATCTCCTCCGGGTTCAAGATGTTCTTTGTCTGCAGTTGAGAGTCTGTTCCATTATCGGGTTGATTCTCTTTGTCGTCTGTCGGTTTTATGCCTTCATCTATGTAGTTGTCAATATAATATTCATTTACTGTGATCACTGGTGTCAACTGCATTTCGTTAGCTTCTGTTGTTTGCTTCTCAATCTGTGTTAAAGCATCTACAAATAATTTTGATGGACTTAGAGTTTTATTGGCTTTTTCCTGCTTATTCAAGGCTTTTCCCTCAGTCGGGGAAATGCTTTTAGAATGCTTTATAATTTTCTTATCGACTTGTTTTAGTTCTTTGATATTAGGTTTCTTATTCTTTTGTGAAGTACTTGGTAAGTTTTCCAAGTCCAGTTTTTCCTTGTTATATATGGTATTTGGCTTACCCTTTTGGTTATTATCTTTAACATTTTCTAAGGCCTCTGGTATATTTTTGGCATCATCTTGAGTTGTCTTAGGATTGGTTTTTAACTCTCCCGTTTTCTTAATGGCATCCTCCTCCTTTTGACAATTTTCTAAGGCCTCTGGAAGTTTTTTGGAAGAAACGTCGGGTTTGTCAATATCTTTACCCATGTCCCCATTGTTTAGATTATCTTTTACGGGTGGTATGCGCTTCGCAGGCATTTCCTGTAGCGGATTGTCTTCCTTGATGAAATACCCAAAATTGTACTTATCGAAATCCCAGAAACTGAAATCCTTTGGCATTGGTTCTTTGGGAAACTCCAGAACAGACCAAGCAGTGCCGACTTTTCGGGACATTTCCTTGAATCTCTGGCTCTCCTTCGCGGAGGCTATAAACGTGATGACTATACCTTTTGATCCAAATCTACCGGCACGACCAATGCGATGCAGATAGGTAACATGACTATCTGGCGGATCGAGATTTACAACCAGATTGGCAAATGACGAGTCCACACCGCGTGAAAATACATCGGTGGCCACCAAAGTGCGCATGGTGAAGTTTCTATAGCCCTCGAAGACATTCAAGCGCTCCGATTGTTCCATGGCTCCCGAGATCAAATGGCACTCGACACCACTGGATGTCAAGTAGTTCGTGTACGAGTCTGCTCGCATTTGGGAGTTGGCAAAGAGCACGGCCTGTTCATAGGGCAATTGGTTAAATATCTGGCCAAGAGCCTGCAATTTAGCTTTCATCTCCTCTGCACTGTTGTGTTGCGGTGGCAGCTCGTAGACAAACTGACGGATACCCAGAAGAACAGTGGCCCTTTCGGAATTCGATATAAGCATGGGTTTGTTCATGATCTTGGCCAGACGCTCATCGAGATCTTGATCGTAGGTTGCACTGCAGGCAATTATTTGGCGGTTCTTGGGCAGAACTTTTATGATTTGAGTGACTGTATCCTGGAGGCTCTTCGTCTGATACAATTGATCCGCCTCGTCGAGGACAAGAAGAGCCAGCTTGGAGACATCCAGAACGCGATTTTGATAGAGATGCCATAGACGTCCTGGTGTGCCAATGATAATACGGCTTTTCTTAATGTGCTTGCGATCGGTGCTCACATCGGTGCCGCCGATACAGGCCGCCGAGTGAAAGTCCTTGAAGAATTCACACAGATAAAAAAAGGTGTCTTGTACCTGGATGGCCAGCTCTCGAGTTGGAACCACTATCAAGGCATGAGGTCGTGTCATACCACTTCGATAGCCCTGCATGGCGGCTATAACATAGATCAGCGTCTTGCCCGTTCCACTTTTGGACTGTACCAGCAGATCTGTGGATATGCAATACCCATTAATGGTAAGCCCTCTGTAAATTATGTATTTTGCGACATATTTACCCATATTACTAAGTGCCATAGGTATGGCAGCCGCCTGAATCTTCGTTGGCGTCACAAAATTGTGGCGCTTCAATCCTCTTAGTAGCTTTGGCGACAGATGCAGTTCCTCAAAGGTTTTTACCTGTCCCGGCTCCACATCCTTGCTCCTCTGCTCCCCGCGGGCCAAGTTGTGCGCCATTTTGCGCTCCATCCTAGATGATTTTCCTATTTTTCTAGCAAATTCAAAAGTTTCTGTCGTCTCAAAAAATGTTTTCCTGAGAAGTGAGACCACAGCGTTACCGGCCAAATAATAAGGTGCGTGAAGAAATATACCAACCAGATGTTATTGGGATAGTCAAAAAAATACCGAAATCTTTCAGCGGAACTTTTAGCCAATATCCCAACTATGGTTGCTGTCGCCACTACCATTTCAGCAGTGACTCATATCAAAGCATTTAATAACCCTACAATACAAAATAATAGTTTAAAAATACTTATTGGGGTACCCCAAGATCGTAAAGAACATTTAATCCAATCCAAACGTTTTTATAGACAATATTTATAAGATAATTTAATTTTTTGAAGTGCATATATTTATATTTAATAAATAATTTTTGGGAAAAAAGAGTTCATATATAAACTAAAGTAAAAAAAATAATAAACCTTATTAAGGAATAAAACGTGAAAGCCCTGATTAAAGTTTATAGTTATATTAAGATTAAGAATATGCACCATAGCTTTTTCCTAGCAATCAGTCTTCTGTGTGAAATTTTCTGTCCGAACATACAATGTCAGATCACCTATACCTCATTGAATAACAGATACAAAATTTATTTTTCCTTTTAAAAATCGTTTCTTCCAACTCAAAATTCCAAAAACATGTTCAAGGCCAAGATACGCGACATTGGATATTTTGTGCTACTGACATCCCTGCACTTGTGCTCAGATCTTCAGCCCGTTGTCGAGGCCCATGCCAATATCAAAACAGTTTATCCCTCAGTGGATCGTAACCTAACGCTCCAAGTGGGCTATATCTATAATCACTGGATGTTCGTCAATGCGATAATGTATTCCCTGCTGGTTATGATAGGACTTTGGTACATTCGACATTTGCAATATACCGAGGGACAGGAATCGGAGGAAAAAAAGGGAATCCTAAAGGAACCAAAAACTGCAGCCGAGGTGAAAAATAATTGGATCAGCCGAAATAGAAAAGATTCCACCACGGAATTGGGACCCTTTTCGTGGAATATGTTATTTCTTTTTGCACTACCCTGGATCTTGACTTTTGTGGCCGGCGGATTGATTAACTACATGCGATTATATAAGGTTATTCAGCATTTCTGCATTTCCAACTGGAGGGCCATTCAACTCTATGGAGAGTTACGTCTGCTCTTTTTGCACCGACTTCTGGCCGTTGCTTTGATACCCTATTGGTCGCAGATAGTTGGTGGCGGAGTATCCTTGGAGGAGGCTTCCAATCTGCCCGGAAATTACATCAACATTGAAACGCATCTGTTGGACTGAGCATGGTACTTTTGGTTTAACTTTTGTATTTTTGTTGGAAGACTAAATTATAGAAATAAAAAATATTTATAAGACTTACATTTTTGAAATTCTTTCTATGTTGTATTTTATTTTAATGAGGTATGATGGATGGATGAAGCTTGGTTTTTATCAAGCTTATTGGTCTTTCCTTAATTTATCAATTGTTCTAATAAACGGTTAAGTAATATTCTTAATGTACTTTTCACCCTCCACTTTGTACTTTCTATATGCACACTTCAACTAAAGTGATGGCTTGGTTTAATTTGTCAACATTATTTTTATTGTTCATACTTCTGTTGTTCCGCCTGCGACAATAAAAGACATTTTCTATCAACAGAAGAGTAAACTTTCCATGAAGTTTCCTGCACCGCTTTGCATTTTATTGTTGGGGAAAACTTTTCCACCATGTGGGAAATGTGCGGCAATCAGTTTTTCTTGCGCAGTTTTATTCAGTGAGAATAAAAGTGAAAAGAGTAGTTAAATTTGCAAGTGCAACCAGTTTTTCAAATGAACAACAATATTTGGGGATCTTAATTTAACAAATTTAAAATACTTAACGATTTATATTGAATAAATTCTTTCCTAAATATAATGACGATAAAGGCCCAAAAAATGTAAATAATAGTTATAAGGACATTACAGATGTTGGCCCATTAAATAATAAACTATTACAGAAATCCCGACATCACCGACATGACAGTCAACCGATCAAAGTTCACTTTAAAACGAGATTTCCCCGAGAGTATTTCAAAATTTTACCCAAATAAACATTTTATGTAAATTGTCTTTGTGCCGAACGTTATTCGCGTTTTGGACACTCAAAATAACGAGCAGTGCAATCGGCAGGATCAGCAGGAGCTGTGTCGGTCAACAGACAGGGATACACGACACTTCCAAGGATCGCTACTTGAGTTCTCCATTGGCAACGCACACATTCGGAACCGCTTTCGATTCCCTTTCGGTCCACAGTTTTGACTTGCCGGTAAGTAATATATTTCTGTAACTCCAGGTTTATGCACTGTTAAAAAGAATCTTAAAAAATATACCCTTGCTGAGATTATATTATTATAAACTTCTTTAAGTACCTATTTATTTTAATTATAATTGTAGTAGTAATAAATTAGTTTTGATACATATGCCCCATAACCGTAGAGTAAAAGGGTATTTTGTGTTCGGCCAAAAGAATGTAGCAGGTAGAAGGAAGCGTTTTCGACCCCTTAAGTATATAGATATTCTTGATCAGAATCAAGCCGCCCAAAACCGTGGCTCCTACAGTTTTAAAGCTAGAACAACGATTATCACAAAAAAATGTGGCTACTCTAACGCCCACAAATCGTCCAAAACTGTAACTCCTACAGTTTTAGTGCCAGAATGAACATTTTAACTAAAAGGTATTGGTCTCGTCAATACAAATCGATTGAACTTTAAAAAAGTTTGCCACTCCTACCCTAAAGGCCACGAACGCACTAACGCTCATGTCTGTCTGCCGCCCACATTACCATATATCGCGTGTAGGTGGCGCTGTACAATCTAGTTCTACTGCTTGCATATCTCCATCTCCCTTTTGCTCTGTTAAGCTTAGTAACGGGTATCTGATAGTCGAGGTAATCGACTATAGCGTTATTCCTTATTGTATAATCTATAATTTTTTACCGTGTTGCTTGCCTGACACTTCTCAGCTCGAAATTCCATTTTCTAACCGATCTAGTAATCCATTTCTTTGCAGTTAATAACAAATTGTTCGGGTTGATTTAGTCTTTCGGTTTTAAACAAGGAAAGCAGACTCCGCATTTCTTTTGTTTTATTTTTTACTACACATTTTGAGTTATCAAATGAAATATTTTTGAACAAATTTTTGGACACTTGACAAAACTTCCGAACGGTGGAGACTCAAAATTGTTTGATCCAGTTTTAGAGACCAACATACCACACTACAGACAAAGAGCAGTTGTCAAAATTGTGCATAAAACGTATAGATCGTATACCCAGTCGTAGATATAGTACGAGATCGTGTTAGACAATATGCGTGGACAACTGTTGCTGAAGGGACCGGCATTGGCCAGGAGTTTGAGCCGAGTTCGAGTGAGTGTGGTGCCGACCTGCCAGATTGGATCGGTTCGCCATGTGACCGCCGGTTGTGGAGCAGGTGATGCCGTGAAGGGCGGCAAGGGAATCGTACTGGGTCTCTATGAGAAGGAATCGGGCAAGGGACCTCGACTCACACCTGCCGGCGAGAAATTCGACGATCGTGTCCAGGGCAAGTTATCCGAGCTGGTCTGCGAGACGAAATTGACAGGACGTCTGGGTCGCGGCAAGGTCTTCAATAATGTGGACACCGATTTTCGTTCGATTTGCGTGGTCGGAGTAGGCCTCGAAGGCATAGCCTTCAATGAGCTCGAGATGCTGGATGAGGGCATGGAGAATGTGCGCATAGCTGCCGGTATTGGAGCCCGATCATTGCAGAGTATTGGTTGCTCGGAGGTACATGTGGACAATATGGACTATGCCGAACAGGCCGCCGAAGGTGCCGCTCTGGCCATTTGGCGGTACGAGGAGAACCTGGCCAAGAAATATCGCAGCACTATACCGAAACTGGAGCTACATGGTTCACCGGATGTGGAGTCCTGGACGAGGGGTCTCTTCAAGGCGGAGGCCCAGAATTTGGCCAGGAGACTTTGTGATGCCCCCGCCAATTGTATGACACCGACCATTGTGGCCCAGGCTGCTGTGGATGCCCTGTGTCCTTGTGGCATCACCGTGGAGGTTCGAACTATGGAGTGGATTGAACAGCAGCATCTGAATTCTTTCCTCATGATTGCCAAGGGTAGTTGTGAGCCACCCGTTCTCCTGGAGGTGGCCTATTGCGGTACTGCCCCCGAGGATAAACCCATATTGCTGGTGGGCCAAGGCATTACCTTCAATTCCGGTGGGATCAACCTGCGTCCTTGCAAGGGAATGGATGAATTCCGGGGAGATCTCACCGGTGCTGCCTCTATTTTGGCCGCCATGCGTGCCGCTGCCGCCTTATCCTTGCCCATCAATATTACGGCCGTGATACCACTCTGCGAAAACCTGCCCTCCGGAATGTCCTGCAAGCCGGGCGATGTGGTAACCCTGCTGAATTCCAAATCTCTGGCCGTGCGAAATATCAGCAGAACGGGTGTGGTGGTCATCTCGGATCCCATGCTATATGGTCAAATTACATACAAACCTCGACTCGTTGTGGATGTGGGTTCCATGTGCAAGGGCGTGAAGAAGGCGGTGGGAGGTGGAGCCACTGGAATCTGGTCGAATTCACATTACATCTGGAAACAATTCCAGAGGGCTGGATCCTTGACCGGCGATCGCCTGTGGCGATTCCCCCTGTGGCGGTACTACAAGGATCGTGTGGCGGAACACCTGAGCTTCGATCTTCTGAACGATGGCGAGGGCTATGCCTCATCCTGTCTGGCAGCTGCTGTACTCCACGAACTTGTGCCCTGCAGCGATTGGGCCCATCTGGACACCTATGGCACTGGACTGTTGAGCACCTACGGACTGATACCCTATCTCACAGCTGGAAGGATGACGGGCAGGCCCACAAGGACACTGGTGCAGTTCCTCTACCAAATCGCCTGTCCCGAACAGCCCAAATAGGTTATGTTCGATCTATTCGATGACGACGATGATGAAGACTACGGTTACGTTTTGGTTGATTCTTTGACAGGCGACTCTTGAGACCCCGGGTATTGGATGTTTGGCTTCAAGTGTATATGTATATATCGAGATATGAGATGGTGTTGAGAAGATATGCGACCATCGTTTTTAGCTGTTGACCGACGTCCCAGGACTAGGGATCAGACCTCGTTCAATGTTTGTATTTAATGTTCATGACTCGGCCGCATCCCGGGGCAGAGTTGGCTGGCAAAGAATGTCTAGAGTCCAAAAATCTCTAAATTGACACAGATAAATCATTGTATCACTCACTTCTTATCCTTTTTGGCTGTCAATCAGATGTAATAAATTGTAGGATCATTAACGAAAACTAATTGAGTTTACAATATCGATTTTTAGGAGGATTATACAGAGGTAAGTTCTTACTATATAATAGCTTTCGGCCAAATCAATAAGTAAGCAAGTAAACCACTTACTGTAGTTAAAAAATGGGAAACAATTTTGAACTCTGTAGCTTGGTAACACTGGGCTTTGCATTGATTCTTAAAATAGTAAGACGAGTTTTATATATATATACTTGTTAAATGCTTTAGTTTAAAATGGTGGTAAAATATTTCCATGTATATAAGAAGATTAAAGGTCTTCAAAACTCACTGAATCCATTTCACTGACACAACTACAATTTTCCCAAGTCAGCTCTTTAAAAGTCCAATCGATTCCTTTAACCCTGTTTTTCAGGCCAACTATTATCCACAGCCTGGACCAATTTTATGCGTTTTCTTGATGGGAAATATACCCACTAAACTGCAGTCCAAGGTCCTCAGACTGGCCAACGTCAAAGTCAGACAAACACAAAGAGCTGCCGAATTCCACCCACTCTGCAAACTAATTCGACTTTTGGCATATCAATGAGGCGACCAAATTGAAGGATGAGAATACTGGGGAAGTCTCGAGGACTGAAGTGACAGGATATCCAAGAGTTTATGGCAAAGTTTTCAGCACGTTATTGATGTCCGGCTCAGCTTGGCTAAATTTTAAACTTTGCCAGCACACAAGACGTGCCATTTGGGCCTGGGACAATTGAAAGGCTTTCTCCATTGCAATCTATTTGTCGACTAATTCAATCGACCGATGTAAAAACGGTTTAGATTAATACTCAAGCGAGGAGAGATTGCAAAAAACTACACGAAAAACTAGACTCACATACATTTTAAAACAATTTTTCAGAGAGTTGCCTGCAATTGACACCACATCATTTATCATTATACGGAAATTCAATTGAGGTTTCGATTTCGATTTTTTGTCGACAAAGTGCTAATTGAGTTCGTGGGTTAATAGGTGTGGGAGTGTGCAGGGCAGCTAATCTGTCAATGTCAATATTATAG